TCTGCTGCACCATGTGGGTTAGCTCCCTGGCCATGTGGATCAAACTTGTGCTACAGTGGCTGCAGAAAGCTTCATAGTGCTGAGACTTAACTCCTTGTGCCACTAGGGAGGCCCAAGGCACTTTGTATTTTAATGAAGCACCCAACTAATTTTTTTTTTCATATCAAGTAATTATAAGTTTTTCTGATTTAAAAGCATGTAGCTCAATTATGTAATTGCCTAGTAGGTTATTCGGGTGCTAAGGATCTTATCTGGTCTCGAGGGGACATAATATGAGTTTCTGTGGCTCTAATGATATATTTACTCAAGAGACAGGATTGACTGACAGCTAGGGGACCCACAGGTAAACATCATTTACATGTGGCTGTTTAATTAGTCATTTACCCACAAGATCAAAGTAAATATTTCTGAGCTTCATTCAACTCTTAATCAAATAACTTCTAGTAGAGCTTTCTTAAATTTTGAAAATCTCTTCCTTTTAAGATTTTATCTACAGAAAAATAGTTAACCGATATTACATATTAAATGGTATATTTTTTCTACAGGGAAACAATTAAAATATACTTTGTTTTGCTAAGTATAAATGGATGATGCATAAACTAAAATAGCCCAGAAGCAACAAAAGCATTTTGTCCTAAAGTGTGCAAGGGTTGCCCTGCCTTTTAGTAAAACATTGTCCTTTAGGGCTATACATCTCTTCATTCTCAACCCAACTGAGACACTGCCTGCTTATTTTCATTTTTAAGGAGAGATTTTGTCATTAATTTATTGGTAATGTTTATGACTGTCACTTAGATGAGATCATTATGATTTAAAAGGGAACAACAAAACTACAAGGGGATGCAGAATATTATTTGATCCAGAAGTTATTAACTGGGCAGCTGCCTACTTGTTAGTAATGGAGTTATTATTTGAAAATTATGAGTAGATTGGTTGTCCGCAACACGGAATATGTTTTCTAATATAAACAATCCCTTTAAAAAAATGATTAGACAGCAAAGAGAATTAACCAACACCTATTTTACCCTTGACATGGCTGATACACTGCACTTGCAGTGAACAAGAATGGAAAACAATTTTGCAAGATAGTAATAAATGAAATAGACAATAGAACCTAAAAACAAAATCCTTCTTAAGACTCACATATATCAACAAATATTGAATGGATCTAAAAAAATCACAGGTTCTGCTTTTCTTTTATTTTTTGTAAGATTTATTTAATTTATTTTTTTAAATAAATTTTATTTTTATATTCCCCATACAATTGCAACCCCCTTATTTTGACTCCAATCCCTCCCCTCCCCACCCCCACCCCCTATTGAGTGTCACTGGTTCATAGTTTTTTGTTGATTTCGATTTTCACTTTCTTATAGTTATTCATTTTCCTGGTCCCTTATTTAAGTTTTCTAGATTCCTGCTATGAGTGAGACTACCTGGTATTTTTCTTTTTCTTTCTGGCTTATTTCGCTGAGCATGATCCCTTCCAGCGCCATCCATGTTGCTGCAAATGGCATGTGTTTATCTTTTTTGACTGCTGAGTAATATTCCATAGTGTATATGTACCACATCTTCTTGATGCAGTCATCTATTTTTGGGCATTTGGATTGTTTCCAAAGCTTAGCTATTGTAAATAGTGCTGCTATAAACATAGGGGTGCAGGTGCTCTTTGGAATTGATGTTTCTGTGTCCTTTGGGTAAATACCTAGGAGTAGAATTGCTGGATCATATGGAAGCTCTATGTTTAGTAGGTCCAGAAATCTCCACACAGCTCTCCATAGTGGTTGGACCAGTTTGCACTCCCACCAACAGTGCAGGAGAGTTCCTTTTTCTCCACACCCTCGCCAACATTTGTTGTTGCTAGTTTTTTTAATATGTGCCATTCTCACTGGTGTAAGATGGTATCTCATGGTACTTTTGATTTGCATTTCCCTGATTACAAGTGATGTTGAACATTTCTTCATAAGCCTGTTGGCCATTTGCATTTCCTCTTCAGAGAAGTTTCTTTTTAGCTCTTCTGCCCATTTTTTGACTGGATTATTTTCTTTGTTGTTGTTGAGTCTCATCAGCTCTTTGCAGATTTTTGTGATCAGTCCTTTATCATTAGTGTTGTGTGCAAAAGTGTTCTCCCAGTCGGTGGGGTTTCTCTTTGTTTTTTGTTATTGTCTCTTTTTCTGTGCAGAAGCTCTTTAATTTGATGTAGTCCCAGCTGTTTATCTTTGCCTTCACTATCACTGCTTTGGGTGAGGTGTCTGTAAAGATGTCTTTGATGTGCATATCACATAGTGTTTCGCCTATATTTCCTTCTATGTATTTTATGGTTTCAGGTCTTATGTCTAGTTCTTTAATCCATTTTGAGTTGATTTTTGTGTATGGTGTGAGGTAGTGGTCAAGCTTCATTCTTTTGCATGTAGCAACCCAGTTTTCCCAGCACCATTTATTGAACAAACTTTCTTTGCTCCAATGCATATTCTTTGCTCCTTTGTCAAAGATTAGTTGACCATAAAGCTGTGGGTTTATTTCTGGATTTTCTATTCAATTCCATTGGTCTGAGTGTCTGTTCTTGTTCCAATACCATGCAGTTTTGATGATTATGGCTTTGTAGTATAGTTTGAAGTCTGGGAGTGTGATGCCTCCATTCCCTTCTTTTTTTTTCAGGAGAGCTTTGGCTCTTCGGGGTTTTTGGTGATTCCATATGAATTTCATCAATAATTGTTCTATTTCTTTGAAGAATGACATTAAAATTTTTACTGGAATAGCACTGAATCTGCATATTGCTTTTGGTAGGATGGCCATTTTAATAATGTTTATTCTTCCAATCCAAGATTTATTTTATTTATACAAGAGCCAGGACACAGGCCAGATGTGCAGGAGGGTGAGAGGATTCACCAGAGACAGAGCAGGGAACAGCACAGGCAGACTGATGAAATATACTCCTAAGGGGAGCAGCGGACGAGACAGGAGAGGTCTGCCCACCATGTGGGTTGCTCTGAGGCCAGCGATCAAACAGGGATCAAACCAGCATTGCAGAGGCTGCGGACAGCCTCACAGTGCTGCACTCAACCACCTGCACCACCAGGGAGGACCCAGGTTCTGTTTTTCTTAAAGAATATTGTTTTCTTCTTAAAGAATATTCACACAAATAGTATCGTACATCAAACAAAACAAAACTGTAACGTTATTTATTGGGTCACATATAATGTAGTTAAATGAAAATGTATGTGGGAAGAATACACACAAGACATCTCTGAAAAGGGGCATGGGATCCATGAGAGGCACGGGGGCCCCCTATCTGTGTCTACAATAACTTATTTCAGAAGAAGGAAGAAGAGGAGGTGTTTAGAAGGGGAGAACAGGGAGAAAGGACAGAAAGCGGAAATTGTGAGTAAAAGGAAAAGAGAGAAGATGAGATAGGGATTTGAGGTGAGAAGAGGTGGGGTACAGAAATGGGGCAAAAAGGAAGAGGGGATAAAGAGGGAGGTTTGATACAAATGTGGTATGAAGGTAACAGCAGGTGTGAATTTAGGTTGGTGGGTGTAGGATTGGTGGGCTCATTATATCACTGTATGTATGTATGTTTGAAATGCTTTCTAAAATGTCCTTTTCTCTTTTAATTAAGGGGACAAGGAAAAGTGGGGATATGGCATGCTCTAGAAGGACCAAAGTGACTCCAGAAATGATTGAGGGGTGAGTGGACTGCAGAGGTGTCTGATTTTGATACAGAGGTGGTAAGGCTTGCCTCCAGGTGGGGCACACGTAGAATCCTTGGACTATGTCCATGATAAAAATTAAAAACTTAAAAAGGATCAAAGCCAGAAAACTCATATTGCATTTAAGGATTAAAAACATACTGTGAAACCAGACAAATTCCTAAAATACTAAATGTTGGAGAAGTAAGTTCATCACTCTGAATATTAAGACTTTTCCAAGGAATCACTAAGGCTAGATAGACCTGGGCTTCTTGGTTCTTCCCCATTCGCTCTCCTTGGGAATTGGTTCCATCAGTTTCTATTTTCTGTTCAGCACCTTCACACTCTGAGGACTGGTTCCTGAGTCAGGCCCCTCCTTGCTTTGTCTGAACTTATGCAGGGCTCTCTCCACTTCAGTCTCCTTGCCAATCTAAGCAGGTAAATTTCCCTTAGGTGCTGCAGGAATCCTATGGTAACCCTGCTCAAAAAGCTCCACTGGCTTTCCAGAATCTACTAAGCTAAATACATACCAGCTTGCCTACACTGGATCCTGCACAACAGGGCTAGTAACTACTTTTAACTTTTTTGCCACCTTCCTGGCCTGGCTCCAACATGGTAACCACAGTGGATGGCTCGGTTTCCTGCACACTGTTGGCTTTCCAGGTCTGCTTTTCATTTCATAACAACACTTCCATGTTGGCCCTGTCCTCCTCCACCTTCCACCCCACTCATAGTTTTTGCTGCCAAAATGTTGTCTGTCTTTTAAGGTTCACTTCATATCCTATTTACTCCTTCTATCACAAAGTCTGCCCTCATTGCCTCTCCAAATACAATAGCTTTGCTTACTTTTCTAAGAATACATATCCTTTGCCATTTTCTTCTTACACAGTTCCCACTATGCCATTCCCCAGAAATGATGGGGGGGGGCACATTTTATTTATTTCCTTACCTCCAGTGGATCTGGGCTGGTGCCTGTGTAGAGAAATGGATCAATATATATCTGCTAAATTGACATGAATGACATTATATAGAGTGGAGAGAAAAAACCAAAATGCTACAAGAAGCTTCTAAGTTCCTCAGAAAATGCTGTGGTAGACATAATTAATTTGGTTACTCTATGGCCTGATTTAATTTTATATAAGAAGTTAAGACTCTTATTTATAACACTAAGAGATCGGTAAATCGAAGCAAACAAACCACAAAGTCTCACTTATCATTTTTTTCAAATATGTTCATCATTGTTAAGAATCTGTTTCCACAGATGAATAACTTATACATCTTGAAACTTACTTAAGAAAAATAAAAATTACTAACCATTGTGCCCTGGTCCTTGTTTTCTGGAGTAACTTCAGACAGCTTAGCTACCTCTTCTTGGATATAATTATCATGTTCTTTTAAGGTGGCAACATGCTGACCCAATTTTTCCCTCAATAAGCCTGAGGATGGAGCTTGTTCAGATCTACAAAATACAAACAGAAGATACACTAGAGTTTGTAGTGCTTGGTAACTCGTGATATTTCCACATTTTAATTTGTTTTTAAAGATTGATTTATTTTTATACAAGAACCGGGGCACAGGCCAGATGCGCGAGAGGGTGAGAAGATTCACCAGAGACAGAGAGGGGAACAGAACAGGCAGACTGGCGAAACACACTACTAAGGGGAGCAGCGGGTGAGACAGGGGAGGTCTGCTTCGCCATGTGGGATTCTCGCCAGCCAGCCGTGATCGAATCCAGGATGGAACCCGCGCTGCAGAGGCTGCAGACAGCTTCACAGTGGGGCGCTCAACCGCCTGCGCTACCAGGGAGGCCCTTTCACATTTTTAAATCAAGTTTGTAGAGGACAGATTATCCAGAAAAGTCTAGAACCTATTATATTCTGGACAAAGGAACTTTCCAGAGTCCAGGTATTTTCCCCCCAATTTTTATTTTATTTCAATTATGAGTTCATCACTAGGTAAAAATTCTTTTTTTTTTTAAAAGATTTATTTATTTATGCCTAAGAGCGGGGGTACAGGCCAGAGATGTGGGGGGTGAGAGGATCCACCAGAGACAGAGTGGGGAGCAGAACAGGCAGACTGACTGAAATACACTGCTGAGGGGAGCAGCGGGTGAGACAGGAGAGGTCTGCCTCGCCATGTGGGTTTCTCCCTAGCCAGCTGGGGATCGAATTTGTGCTGCAGAGGCTGTGGATTGCTTCATAGTGCGGTGCTTAACCCCTTGCATCACCAGGAAGGCCCACTAGGTAAAAATTCTTAACTTTGGCTACATACTGGGACACCCTAGGGTGGTTTGTAAAATTTAGATGGCTTGTGCCTTCCCCACAGAGCCTAGTAAAACTGCTCTGTGAACAATCTTACCAGTCATCAAGAATTTTTAAATCTCACACACTGATTCTAATATGTAGTCATGGTTTTGAATCACTGCATAGATGGTCAGGTTTTTCTTAAATGTGATTAACAGAAATAGATCACATGTCTACCTCGATGGTTCATTCCTGTTATAATCTTACCACTGTCTACTTATAATTAAAATAGAAATTCCAAAATATAATGAAGCTCAGTAGAAAAAATTCCAAAATATAATGAAAACCAAGGTCTTAAAAAGGAAGTAAATCTTATCACATGCTACAATATGGATGAATCTTAAGGACATTATGCTAAGTGAAGGAAGTCAGTCACAAAAAGAAATATTACATAATTCCACATATATAAAGATACCTACAATAGTCAAATTCATATAAAGAGAAAGTAGAGTGGGATTTCCACTCTAGGGCTAGGAGGAGGGAGAAATGGAGAGATGAATGGCTATAGTACAATGATGTGAATGTGTTCAATGCTACTAAATTGTACACTTAAAAATGGATAATTTTTGAGTTATCTATTTTGTTTTTGCCACAATTAAAACACAAACCTTTAAGACTACAAAGGGCAACAACTTGGTATTCTGAAAATTATTAGGTAAAGATGCTAGAATTAAGGATTTATTCTGCCTTGATGGAATTAAATGGATTTCAGTTACCAAGTATTTGACAGGAGAAGTTCTTCCAAATAATAAATGAAAAAGAAATGAAGGAATTAGAAAGTGAACATTTTGTTAAGTCTAAATTAACAAATACATCTAGAAAATGATCATGATTCTGTGAAAACTGCATTTGAAACTTTATGTTAGAGGCATCAGTCTTAGTATCACTAACCATGGGGTAATCAGATGTCATGTGATGCCTGAGGAGGGATGATAAGTACAAGCACCACCAAGATACCCTCTTGCTAAAATGCCTGGCCTAGAATGTAATCACATATCTGGAGTGAGCCACCAGTTTACAGATAATATCATTTGAATCCTGATTCCAACAAAGCAAATGTAAAAGACTTTTGAGATAAGGCAAACTGACAAAAACAAGGTGTTAGACAAAGTAAAGAATTTTGTTAAGTAGTAATGTATTAAATCCTTGTAAGCTAGGTATCTGGGTAGTTATAAGTATTTGTGAATGAAACATATTGCGTATTTTAAACTACTCAAGAAGAAAGCATAAGTGTGGGAAAAGAGATAAAACAAGATTGGAAAAATGCTGACAATTGGTGAATCTCAGTAATGATTACATGGGACTTCATTATACTGGTATATCTGCTTTGTGAATGCTTTAAAAATTTCCAAGTAAAAATTTTTTAAGGGTAATAATGCATTAAAAAAAAAGTGTACAGGGCCTCCCCGGTGGCGCAGGCGGTTGAGCGCAGCACTGTGAAGCTGTCCATAGCCTCTGCAGCGCGAGTTCGATTCCCGGCTGGCCAGGGAGATATACATATGGCACGGCAGACCTCTCCTACCTCTCCCACTGCTCCCCTCAGCAGTGTATTTCCGTCAGTCTGCCTGTTCTGTTCTCCCCACTCTGTCTCTGGTGAATCCTCTTACCCTCCCACATCTCTGGCCTGTACCTCGGTTCTTGTATAAATAAATAAGCCTTAAAAAAAAGTGTACAAAGCACTAAACAAAAGAGATTGAGACTAAAGGTGAATGGAAGAACATAGAGATGCATTTATATGCTAAGGAGAGAAATAAAATGCTAAGGAGAGAATCTGGGTGGATGTCGTATGGATGTTCACTATACAGTTCCTTCTTTACCAAAGTTTAGTTGTTAAAACATTAGCCAGACCTAACCCTTGTCTGCCCCAAGACTTGAATAAAGTCAGATACTTCATTGGAATCCTTGAATTTATTTAAAAACTTCCCAGAATGATTCCAAGGTTCATGACTGGTTTCCTAGAAGCCCCAAACACTTTCTTTTCTTAGTTACATGCAGACTTCACTGATGTCAAAAAACCACCCTATTCCTTTGTTCTGATTCTATGTCAATGAAGCAACCTTTGTGCCTGCGTTTGGCTCACAGATCTTCTGACAGAGAAAATACACTATACATGAAAGCATCTATAGTTAGGTTCAATTAAAGTTAGAAACAAGTTTCATCAGGATGAATTAAATCAGTTGTTAGTTGGGAGAGAACAAATGACTAGAGACGAGTCTCTCTACAAACCCAAGGCAAGACTAGTTTTTAATACCGCAGCCAACTGTAACCATGCCTTGGGTCATGGCATGAAAGAATTAACTAAGGTTTCCTATCATTATAATACTTACTTCACAAAAGGACAAAACCCATTAATTGACTTGCATGAGGTCAAACAGCAAATGAGCTATTGAAGGAGGTATAGCATCAAGTTGTGATCTGAACAGCTAAGCCAACACTTTAAGCACAAAATCAGGCTTTCTTACAGATTGATTTCAAGATGGATTGGGCCAGGAATACACGAGCCATGGTTGTCCTGCATGGAGCCTTGCCCATGTTCTACATAAACACACTGAATCAGAAAATTTGCAAAGTGACTTGGAGGATTTTTTTTTCTCTTTTGTCCACTTTACATTGGAAATTTATAACATCATGCCACACAGGGGGGAAAAAGTTTCGTATCAGCTAATTTATATACTCCTCCAACTGAAAATATTTTAAAAATACACTTTAAATAGTCTATAATTTATCTCATATACTTGGACTGGCTTCCAATCAGAAAACTGCAATTTAAACAAATGTACCAGCATTTCCTAACTACAACTGATTAACAACAGAATGGTAATTAGACCAAAGTTTTAAATGCAAAGAAAGTAATAAACACCTGAATTTTATTCATGGCATAGGCAGGATAAAATAAAGAGGCTTTTACATATTATAACACAAACAATATAAAGCTGACTCAATATTTCAGCTTGAGTTTGAGAGCACAATTGGGCAATTGAATCTGAAAGTAGCCATAACAGAAACAATCAGTTGCACCTGGAAATAAATAAAATAATAAGTAGTTTCATTATGGCTTTCAGATAAATAGAACTGCTTACTAAGTAATCACTCTTATGTTACCATGTTTTCCAGAAGGCAATAATGAACATAATTATCCATCAATTAGTCTAAATGACATGAATCATTTTAATAATTCATTATAAGTTAAAAAGACTTGGTTCTCTACCTAGTAATAGTAAACCTTTCATATGAAGGTCTTTGAACATGTAATCCTTGATAGAGCAGAAAAACAATAATGATGGTAAGAATGGTTTTGTTCTTTTTTCTTTTAATATGTTCTGTTTTGGAGGCCTCCCCGGTGGCGCAGCGGTTGAGCACTGGGTTGCAAAGCTGCCCACAGCCTCTGCAGCACCGGCTCGATCCCTAGCCGCTGGGCGAGGGTCCCACATGGCTCGCAGACCTCTCCTGCCGCCTGCTGCTCCCCTCAGCAGTGTATTTCGTCAGTCTGCCTGTTGGGCTCTCGGCTCTGGCTCTGGGGAATTCTCTCAATCTCCCCCGCTTCTGACTGCACCCAGTGCTTGTATAGATAAATAAATAAATCTTAAAAAAAATGTTCTGTTTTGTGATCAGAAATGCAGATGTCTTCACTCTTTTTAGGGTATGCTATGGGACACGTACCCCATTTTACAGATGAGATTAAAGTAAAAGAGACATGTTGACTGCCATTGCTTGGTCAGGACCTCTATTCAATAAGCTTTAAGGAGTTCATAACCTGTTGAAGCCTTGCCACTCTGCTTAGTTCAGAATTATATGACATTAGAGTCTTTACCAAATAAAGAAGAAAGGTAGATAATTCTTTGCAAAACTGTATTTCTGGGATGGTTTATCAAACTGACCAGAGAATTGCTTCCATCCAAGGGAAATCACAAAGCAGACAGGAATGTTTCACCTAAGGGAACACTCAGAAATAACACTGGATATTGAGGGACAAAAGGGATGGTTAGGGCAAGGAGGGTGGGGGGAGCTTGATGCCCTGATAAAAAGAATCTATAAAGACCTGACTGCTTGTCTCTCAAAGGTCCTATAAATATGTGGCATGTTTCCAAGGCTAAAGATGAACCAGTGACAATCAACATACATTAAATAGCAGCCCTAGTCACAACACACAGGGCAAATCTAAATGTAACAGAACATAACACTGCATTAGTAACTATTCCTGACTTTTTTATCTGGCTTTAAAAAATGATTGTGGCAAAGAGACAGTCTTGAAGGCTCCAGATATTAATTTTAAAATTTGTGTTGGTCATAAAGAAGGATCATTTCTTATGAAAGGCTGATTTATAATGACTGTAGATCAATAGCCACGCAAAATGCAACCTTTCATGATGGAAATCAATGCTCTATTATGTGTGTTGAGAAACTACAAGGAACGTTAGTCTAGAAGGTGTAGATATCATATCTTATCACCCACAGTTTGGCAGCCTAGGTTAAGAGAGTCACATAATGAATTATTTAGTCTAACAAGTCAGCTTGCACAGAGCATTATAAATATATATAAGCTTTCTATGCCACACACTACAACTGTGGTTTATGCCAAACAGTATATCAATAGATATAAAAGGCAAGGAGAAAGAAAGGGGGATCTGATTAAAGAGCCTTACAACCCATAATTACCAAGTGACCTAGAGAGCTCAGAAAGACTCCTCCCAAGCTTGCTTCTTCTACCACCGTACAAAGGAGTATGTTAAGATGACATTTTTTATTTCATAAAGTAAGATTTTCTTGCATTGTCTTAGGCTGAAAAGCGACTGACCAGGAAGATTGTTTCCAGCATTTTCTATGGCTTTGAGATCATTATTATAGATACATCAACACATTCAGGACTTGTGAACCTCATCATGTGACCTATAAAATGGTAGCATATGATTGAACTAGTTTTCCTGTGACAAGGTCCTTCTAAAGACCATTATCCTGTCTTCTCCTAGGCCTTGATGGGGTCCAATATACACAGGATTTATGCTGAATTCTACTCTAAAGAAAGTCATTACATAAAATAGCCCACATGGCATGTTAAAGGTAGAAAATATGAGGTTGGATATAAGATAATCAGACCTAAAGCCCCTCTCACTCTCTCAGCCAAGTAAGGTCCTTTCAGGTGGGCTTTCACATATACTCATCTGCTGACCATTTGTCCTCCGCTAGTAAATAGTGGGGACATATTTTAATAAAAGGAAATATAGTCAGTACCCAAAATAAAAGCCAGGGTTAGGATACTGATAATATTTATGCAATATGAACTAGGTACCTACCAGGTACCAGAACTGGATAAATTAATATACATATTACACATTTGTAATTTATATATTCAGTAAGTAGTCCAGATGTCACAAAGTTCCTAGGCCATGGAAAGAAACTCAGACTGCCTAAGGTGGGCTGAGAGTATAAAATATATTTCTAATTTATAGTTAGGAAGGATGTACCAGAATCATGGTTCACATGTCCCAACTACTCTACAATTAACCTTTTCTGTTGTCCCAGCTTTATGGTCATTTGAGGCATATCCTTGGAGTGATGGCTTTCAAACTTGGGGAGCCAGAGCACTTTTAAGGGCTCATTAAAACCCAGATGGCTGGATCACACCTTCAGATTCTTGATTCAGTGAGTCCTGAGTGTTTCTAACAAGCTCCTAATTCTTATTGGTGCTGTTGGCGTGAGAAGTATACATCCTATATCTTTTAGATTGGAGGGCCTGTAGCATTTACATAACCTTGGAAATTAGGAAATAATCTGGGGTTTGAACCACCAAGGACATCCCTCTAGGTGATGGCTACCCCTGGATTGTATACTGGGTTGTTCTCTAAGATATGCTATTAGACAAAGTCTACCCACATTCCCTTCCTCCCAGTAATTCCTTAAAATACTGCTACAAGAAGGGGCTGAATGAATATATCCAATTAACAATCAGAAACAAGTATACTTACAAAGAAGCAGATGGTGAAGTTCATAAAAAAGTTAAAGTGATGACTACAAATGACTACTAGTGTTGACTGTGGACTAGTGTTTTGCAACTCTGTGACCCTTTTCATTTGGAAGTGTCTGGGAACAAGAACAGCCATCCCAACTTGCATCCCAAGCAGCAATTTCATGACAGTAATACCTGATTTGTTTTTCACTGCTTCCAACTCCAGGGAAGAGTCTCGGAAGCTGGTGAAGGACAGCTGCTCTGCAGGCTTCAAGGTCTTCTTTCAGAATGTCACTGTGATTATAGAACCTATAAAATAAAACAGGTGCTGCATGAAATGTTTATTTAAGCACAGACGGTCAGCTTCTAGAATCTACGGCAGTTCTTTGGAGTTTATTGAAATGTATCTGTAATATAATCTAGACATAAAAATGCAGCAACTAGACTGTCTCTTGACAAAGATGTAAAAGGGGGCAGTTTGAAAAACTTATGTGTATGTGGCAGTTTAAAATCCATCAGAGGAAGTAACTTTTAACCCTTTAAAGACTTTAATGATGCTCAAATCCACAGCTGTACAATCTCATTCCACATTCCACCTGATAGGAATGCTAGATAATCTTAACAGCAGGAAAGACTAATTTTATATTGTCAATCATAACAAAGTTAGATCTCCACAACTCATATGAAATTTACTTAAATTGTCACTGCTAAGAAATTGAAAACTGCTGGCTGAAGTATAGGTTACGTCCTCTATTTCTGAATGCAGAAAAAATGACTATTATTTCTCTATTCGAATCCCACCACAATAAAATTTTCTTTATTATTAATAAGAACAGGAAGACATGAATACATGGATTTAAAGTTTGTTATCTGTTGCCAGGCTACTGAGGGACTGGTAAAGGCTACAATCTGGCCACTATTTAAGCTTAGGTCCATCATGGTATCACAGTAGCCTCTAAAGAGACTGTTTAGTCACTACCTTAAAAAAAAGATGTCTATCTGGAGAAAAGGATGATTCTAAAAAACTATGGGAGATGATATAAAAAACCAAACAGTATTTCTACTTTAAAGGAGTTGATCACTCATTATAGTCAGGAATATGTAATACATACCCCCAAAAGAAAATGAAGGTTATTTACAAAGCAATTTATAAAATACGTTAATTAGCAAAGTATTATTCCATAATTGGTATGAAAACTTGTTAAGTTACTGGATCAAGCTGATGGTATGTGTCTGCTCTTTCAGTGGTGCAGGAAACATGCTCTGTCCATTTATTGGAGGGTTAGTGACAACCATAGGCTCAAGCTCCACCCACTCTGAAGCAGGCTGTTACCCTAAGCAGGGAATAAATGGTTCCCCCAAATTCAAGCCTTCTTCTGGACTCTGGGGCACCTTCTGGGTACTCTAACTCCTTTCCAAGTCCCTGCCAAGTCCCAAGCTCTTATCTAAATTCTGAATCTGGATTCTTAGTCCCTGCTGGCTGGCTTTAGTCTCTACTTCTCAGCTCTGCTGCTAAAAACCTTCCAGATTCCTGACCTATGCACACCTTTTTTTTTTCTCCCTCAAACAAAATTTGGGCCCTAATTCTGCCTGGAAGGCTCTATCTTTTCATGACTTAATTCACAGAATAATACCTGCCCTCAAGTGGAGGAAGATAAGGAAAGAGTAATATGGCAGCAGAGGGAAGGTGCCAGGCTCTCCCCCCTCTACATACTCACAGCTAAGATTGCAGCAGAACACAGCCAACAACTCCCGAAGGAAAAATGGATGATAACAGCACACGCTAGGTGCAGTGTTCCCTGTAGGGAGGCCCTCACCTCACCTCAATGATAAGCACAGCAGTGGAACTTAACAGACACTCCCTAATGCTGGTGTACAACGGTAGGGTGAGGGGGTGCCACTGTGGCACTGCTTTTCTCCACAGGAAGACTATTTTATTTCCACCATTTTTAGGAATTGTGATAAGGGAAAGCAGGTGAGTTTCAGGGGCTAACTATTATTTATAATTTCTCTGTAGAATATCCTGCATCTGCATCCTTCCTGTTCCACCATAAGACTATATTTATTAACACCTGAATGTCTAGTTGAGACAAATGTTCTTGTCCAGTATGATCAACCCACATGTCAGGCTTACTTAGACTAGCTCATCTCACAATTGTTTAGAAGCTTCTCTATCTCATTCATAGGAATATTTCTTCCTTTAGCACATACAGATCTGACAATCTTTAACACAAATGCAGACAACTCCTACAAGATTCTGTGCTCTAGTTATTTCATCCTTGCCTAGACTTCACAAGACCAAAACTCACTGAGAACAGCAACTGAATGTCTACATTTTTATCTTAGAGTCTAAGCTTCTCCAAGCACTCAGCACAAAGCTGAAAACACACCTAACAACACTATGACCCTATGTGTTGAACAACAGACCAAAATTTAAGCCTAGATTAGAGAAATTCACGACACCTATTTTTACAGTATCTGTTGAAATGGTTGTTATACCAGTCCAGAGCTTCAAGGGCTTGGCAATGAATGATGAATAAGATGGCCTTACAGAGCTTATGGTTTCCTTAGAAAATTCTCTGGTTAAAACATCAGTTCTGTGCTGAGGGTTTCTAAAAGTTATTTCCCCACATGATACTAGGCTTTAGTTTGCAAAATATCCATCAGTCTTTTGCTGAACACACCATTATAGAATGCAAAACTTCAATTTCTTTCATGTTTTCTACTTGCATTCCTACCCAAATCATTTCAGGTCGAGGGGCATTGGTCTGACAAGCACATGTCCAGTGTTCAAGACTGTGTGGATTGGCTTGGTACCAACAATGCCAGGTCCAACCATAGGCTTGTTCCCTGTGAAGCCCGGCAAGTGGACAAACCTACTGGATGACAGACAAGTAATTCTTAGAAATACCAATGGCACTTTAAGGAGGCATGTTTTATTTTACCTAACAAATAAGGAGTAGAATACATATTTGGGGGGGGGGGAACTGCTAGTAGATGCTTCATTTTCATCTTTCAGTCACACAGAATTTAGGAGATAATTTAAAAGAAAAAACTCCACTCCAGACTAATGTGAGGACTCAAATTAAATTACTTTTTCTTTTTTTTTAAGTACAGAAGAGAGAAAAAGTGCTATGCTTTTTCTTTCAGTATCACAAACTAAGAATTACTTTTCAGCAAAAATAACCCTATATGAGGGCTATAGAAAATAAACTTTTCTTTACCAGATAACTTTCACACGTTCCTGTGGGTATTACCCTCTGGGGAACTGGGAATTTATATTTCAGTTGCAGTACTATAGGCTTGACCTTCAGGTTTTATTTTCTTTAGGGAACAAAGGTCTCAAAATGTGTGGTAATCAGTGACCATAAATAGTAATGAGTTTACTTAATTTATATAATGTGTTACTTCTAAAACACTTTATAAAATATGTTTACTATATTTTTAATGAGACTGAAAAATCATAAAGCACCATAGCTGGTCACATACAAAAAAATTTTGGAAGGAAATTGTATTTTAAAATGAGCAACAACAAAAAGACATTATTTGTAGAGATGGTCCATTAATTTGTGATGAACATGTGATTTAGGAATAGCACATGTACAGGAAGGTGGGAAATTGGCTTTTGTTTCCAAGTCTAGTGCCCATAGAAACACTGGTTGAAAAACTCAATTTCTGGGCCTCCCCCGTGGCGCAGCGGTTGAGCTCTGGGTTGCGAAGCTGCCTGCAGCCTCTGCAGTGCTGGTTCGATTCCCAGCTGCTCCCCAGCCACCGGAGGAGGGTCCCACATAGCGCGCAGACCTTTCCTTCTGCCTGCTCTGCTCCCTGCTCTGGCTCTGGTGAATTCTCTCACCCTCCCACGCTTCTGACTGTACCCAGTGCTTGTATAAATAAATAAATCTTAAAAAAAAAAAAAAGAAAGAAAAACTCAACTTCTTCCTCTTCAGGTTTGACCCTGCCTTTCTTCCAAAACATAAGAAGGCTTTGATCTTTAAGGGAAGGACACATGACCAGGATAGAAAATACTGCTTTTAAAACTATCACTTTAGGGCCTCCCTGGTGGCGCAGGGGTTAAAGACAGCGCCATCAAGCTACTGCCAGCCACTACAGCACAAGTTGCATCCCCAGCAGGTCAGGGAGCAACCCACATGGCGCAGCAGCAGACCTTTCCTGTCTTGCCTGCTGCTCTCCTCAGCAGTGCATTTCAGTACATCTGCCTGCTCTGTTCCCCACTCTGTCTGGTGAATCCTTTCACCTCCCTCACCTCTGGCTTACACCCCAGTTCTTGTATGCATAAATAAATAAATCTTTAAAAAAAATAAAACTATAGCTTTATCAAGTTCTAGTTCTGGATTTTTACATTTAATTCCCAAGGAAATGAATTGATTATAACTAACATTTAAAGTCCTCCAAAGATTTATGAGGGTTCTTAAGTGTGAAGAAGTAACAATGCATTCATGTACCAAACACTCAAAGCCAACAACTGCTAAAAAATATCACTAACAGACCAAAGCTGACTGATGTCAGTCAAAACCTGAGATTCAAATTCAATTTGTGTAGTTTGCTTGTCATCCCGAAGCCATTTAGCACCTTCATCAATAAAAGAAAACCTCCAATGACCTCCCATCAACAGGTACACAAACACAAGGAGAAGCAGAGAGGTCTATAGTAGCCCTACCTCCATAAAGATGCAAATTAAGATTTAAACAGTGTAACAATTGGCTAGCGCTAATCCTTTTACAGAGGTGTAAATGGCTATTGAGAACTGAATTCCGGGCTGCTAGCTTTTGTGAAGTAGCATTATAGACAAACTTCACCCAAGAGCAATGCCAAACCACCAACTCTGAGGACTGTTACCAAAATAGTTTAACAAAACCTGTGTGATTTGCTTGCTTTGATATCAAATTTCCTGACCATAAATCCAAAAGTGTAAATATAAACCACATCAAGAATCAGAGCCCTGGGAAAATAAACTGGAAGCAACTAATTCAAGCCTGACACCCTATGGCAGGAACAGCTGTATGTGCAGCCACAGCGAAGTTTGTATATGGGGTTTTGTTTGCCACACAAAACAGTTGTAGAAAGGACAAACACATACATAGTTAAACAGTATTTTCCTTTTAACAGGCTGTCTAACAAGACCTATGTTTTGGTGGCTACCTCAGTGCCCATTGTGCAGCCCCCTGGGTGGTCCTTTCCAGGGGGCCACTTGAAGGGAGCACAATGCCAAAAAGGAGGGAAGGAGGGGACCGGGACACAAAGGCCAACAGAGCAGGGCGGTCTGCGGCAGGCTGCAGACCAGGGGTCAG